TTTCCGGATTTGCACCTCCGCGTTCTACGTCGGACGTGGTGGCACTTGTTGTCGACAAATTACCCGTGGACTGAATGAGTTTGGCATTGTGGAGCATGAGCGCCCTGGAGACGACGTCCCCACACGACGCCCTCGTCGCCATCGCTCGTGGTCTCGATTGATTTTCCGACTGCGTTCGACACCACTGACCATGGGAATTTATTCTGCATGCTTGACAGAATTCCGCGCCTTGGCCTCGAACCAAACGCTGGCTGCACAACTACCTGCGGGGCCGCTATGTTAGGGTATGCACTCGTGAACAGCACTCCCGGAAACAACTCGCCTCAGCTGGAGCACCGCAAGGCGGCGTCCCGGGACCCCAACTCTTCCTCTACTGTGTGGATGGTCTGCTGCACCGCCTGGGCAGCATCTATTCTGCCTCCGCTTTCATGTACGCTGACGAACACACAATTGTTGCCTCATGTGCGGACATCCATGCCTGTGCTGTGGCAATGCGACCGCTCTTGTCTTTTGTGGCCACATGGGCTGCCAAGCACAGCCTAAAAATCAACGTCGCTAAGAGCGAAGCTGCTCTATTCTACATCTCTTCACACACACACGGTCTGACGAGGACATGGTCGATCTCCATCTTGTTAGCGGGAACCTGCGTATTCAGTCACGCCCAGTGCGCTTGCTGGGCAACACGTTCGATCAACTTCTTAATTGTTACGCACGCTTCCACCGCTGCAAAGAGGACCATGCCACGCCGCTATCAGCTGCGTCTGGGCGCAGAAGCGGGCGCGTCCCATCACACCATGCGATCCTTTTTGATTGGATACGTTCATAGTGTGCTATTTCATAATGGCGAGGCTATTGTCCCGTGACTTGCCCCCACCCACCTCCATAATATGAAAGTACGGTACCGCGACGGTAGCAAAACATTCTTTGCCTGAGCGCATCTACAGAAGACACATCTGTCTATTTGGAGGCCAATATTCTTCCGCTCCGGAAGGTACTCTGGCGTCGTGCACTCACACAATACGAACGCTATATACGCCTCCATGATCACGAGGATTTGCGTTCCCTTATCTACTCGCAACCTATGCCGCCGTCCATGCATGGGAAAGCGGCGACATCAATCCGCTTCCGAGAGATGCTGCTATTAATGGATTGCTACGCGTCTGTGACATTATTGGGACACCCCACAACCACATTCGCGCGCCTCTTGCCCAACATCGAATTTTTCCCCGGGACACTGCGATCTGCAACAACTTGAGATTTTATCAGCCACTGTTTGCCGAAGACGCCTCTGACGATGTCGGGCGCACGGCTTTTTATTCTACTCACTCCTCTTTGGGGGATTGTGACTTTGAATTGTGGACGGACGGTCCTTCATATCTCGCTGCACTCGCATCTGGATCCGCTGCGCTATTATATGACTCCACCACGACAAATGATCTCCCTGTGGAGGTACATCGTGCAGCAGCTGGCAGCCTCGCATGCTCATATGGGGCAGGCTGCCTTGCGATCGAAAATGTTTTTAGACATCTCATACCTCCTTGTCTGGGAACATCCCAATCGCCCACACGAATGCTGGAGGAAACGGACTCCCTCTCGGCAATGGAGGCACCCCGCGTCGCCCACCGACCGTGCGAGACCGCGTTACTGAGTAAATTTGGATTATGCTGCTTTCCTTGGTGAAGCGAGGTCACCTGTGGATTTTATATTTTCCCATCACACTGCGGTATTCCACGCGGTGCGGCCGCTGACAAACAAGCCACGATTGCACGATTCCTCTCGCAGGACTGCGTCAATGCCTGGCACGTGGACTTCCTCACTGCAGTGAAGAGGTTATAATGGAAGGATGCCCAGGAGGAAAAGGAAGGCGCGCACACCGCGTGACAGGCGCCTGTCGGTGTGGCGAGGACTCTATTCCTGGTGTTGACCCGGACATCGGTCCCCGAGTGGCGGCACTGCGCACAGGCGCGATGCGACTCCTGCCCACTCTTCGACAGGCCTGCACGCGCCCTGCGGATCACAAGGAACCCTCTGTGTCGGTGGCGCCGTCCCTCCCTCACTGCGGTGACCGGCCCGTCACTGCCTCCGCCGGAACCTCTTCCCGACGTGAGCGCCGCAACTCCTTGTCGACCAGCGAGCGGCGGATTGACGTCCTCCTGCCCAATCTGCGGCAGAGTGCGCTTGTCCGTCCACAGTATGAGGGCACATGCCGGACGTGCTCAGCCTGGCGTTATAATAGTTTGCGAGGGCCTCCCATGCGGATGCCGCAATGGCGCCACCGTCTTCTTAACATGCGCCTCGCGCGCAGGTCGCCACCGAAGTTGCCAAGCATGCCGGCAGGCAAGACACGCAGGAAGCACAAACGCGGGTACTCGAGATGGACCAGGCTCTTCCGCCACCGCCTCATCACGGACGCCACGGGCTGCTGATCCCCGACGGACCACGGGAGACTCCGCCTCATCCACTGCGGGAATGCCCTCGTCGTTGGGAACTGGGACTGCGACTGTTTGTGACTGCCCCAGCCCGCACGACGGAATGCTTGCCACTTTTGTACGGACGGCCCTTGCGCTACTCACTCGTTATTGTAGCAGCATACAACCAAAACAAGATAATAAGCTGCTTTGTGGTGAATATTGGCTGCACTTCCCGTGGACCAACAATCCGCGTGGTGTGCGGGGATCTCCTTTGTATTGTTACTTTGCTTTTGTGTTGCTGTGTGCGCACCCTCCGTGAGGGGTGCCGACACGACGGACCGCTCTCGCCGCACGTGCATGCGGTGGAGCCTTGTGTGCCGCTCCTGTTTGCTTCTCCCTCCTCCATCTGTGTGTTGGTGTTGCGGCAGGGCTGTGTGTGTGTGTGTGTGCCTGCTGCCGTGGATTGGAGTGTGTGTCGTGCGTGGTGTGCGGCGTACGGTGCATGCCTGGCTGCTGCCCTCTCCTCATGTGGTGTGCCCTCTGTGTGTGTCTGCCGCACCTCTCGTCTCCCCTGTTGCTCTCCATGTCCCTCACTGTGCAGATCAGCTCCACACCACTGAACGACCACACTCACGATGATGACGTGCCGTCTGCTGTGCGCCCTGTTGGTGCTTGCCCTGTGCTGCTGCCCGTCCGTTTGCGCGTTAGTGGAACCGGAGCCTAAAGTTGATGTTCAAGCTTCCCAGACGACCACGACGAATACAACACAGCCACCAACTGCTAAGCCGGTTGAAGCTATTGTAGGCGCCCCCAGTCAATCGACCCTTGCAACAGGGGGAGCATCACAGGAGACCGGTCATTCAGATCCTTCAACAACGGGGCCCGTTGCAAGTCCGGGAGATGATGGCGGAGAGGGATCAGGATCTACCAGTACGGCAGTTCTGGAACCAAAAGTAAGTACCGAACCAAATAAATCACTGACAGAGGGCACGAACGGTATGACAAACAACAAAGT